GTGATTAAAAAGACATAACAAATGAATTGATGGACCCATCGGTCGGTCGTCGGGAAAGTGTGGCCAACAATATGTGCGACCAAAACAAGTTTGAATTCGTGATCAACACTAACGAGACATACATTAAACCCAACGAACAGTTCAATAGTTTCAGCGATCAGTTGAACTCCAAGACCATCGTTGAGGACATAGTGTCGGCGCCGACCGCTGCCAACGCCGTGTCCGCCGGCGACCGCTCGCCGCCGGCCATTGTCTCCAAGACTGCCGACAAGTTCGTCGACTTCGCGGTCAAACAGTATCGAAACGATGGCTTCGTCTGCACTGTGGATGAAAATGACCGACAGATCTATTACTGCTATTACTGTCACCAATACATCAGTGATTATGATCTCATCGCCGCTCATATCGATAGCGCCCAACACCTGAAGGTTTGTTGATATCACTGCCGGATGTGTTTGTCGTGTCTTATAAATGGTTTGCCTTTTGATTCGCAGAATATTCTGAACGGTATTTCGTTTGATAAGGGATTGGATAAAGAGTTTGTTGTGGAAACTGTTGCCGAAGACAAGACTAAGAAGAAGTGTAATTACTATTTGTTTAATTTGTTTGCATTTTTGTAATTATCATTGATTTGATTGAATGTTTTGCGAATTTGTTGACCAAATTAGTGCTCAAACTGATTGATAAAGTGTTGACACGAATGCCTCTTCATCTCAAGCATTATTACTTCCGCAATGGTATCCGTCTTATGAATGTGAAGCCACCGGACGCTTACTTTTGCAAAGTTTGTCCACAAATTGTCTCTTATTTTGTTTCAATTGTTAGTGAAATGTGTTTTCATTTGCGATTAGTTTTGTAATCAAACGATTCAGGACTACAAAGACATTGAAACCCATTTGTTAATAGAGAGCCATAGACTTAGTCAACAGAAACTAAGACCAGATTTAATGCAATTAATCGATAAATCGGATGACGTTTTGCTGCGAATTGGTCTCCAATTCATTAGCGAGG